AAAGATTCGAAATTAGGTTTCGTGATGTTTTATAATTTTATATTTATTTTTGTGTAACTTACTCTTAGTGATTATGTTGTGTAATCTGATTTACATAGTAGAGTCATAATTAGTATTATAAAAATGATCTACATATACTCTACCCTTAAAATCAATTAAATTTTTTTATTATAATTCTATAAATTTATATAGTTTAATAAATAAAATTTCATTAATTTTAAATAAGTAGTTACTAGGATATCATTACTCAAAAACATATCTAAGTTATAGTATTATTATATTATTAAGGATTATCAATTTTATTTAATTAAGAAGAGATAACTATATAAGTTTATTAGTTTTTATATAATTTTAGTTATGTGATTATAAACTAGATACAAATTCTATTTTTGCCTGTAGATATAGTGCTACTTCATATGATTTAGATTAGGGTTACTAGTTAAAAAGATATCTAAAGTTAGTTAATAGTCAGAAAATATTTTGTTAAAATATAGTTTTATAGTTAAGATTTTTTTTTTTATGAATTCGGCAATCTTGTCTCAACTTTATTAGGCTAAAATATTTAACTCACAGATAAAATATTATTTTTGCTAAAGTAAACTAAAGTATCACCTAAGTCACAAGTTTCAGCTAACCTGGTTTATTGTGACACCAAAGTGTCCAAATTATCTATATTCGATCTACTATAGTAAAGTTTATCTTCATATCAAAAAACCCTGCAAGTGAATTCTTTGATATATCACCAAATAGTATTTACAGCCTATCAAGACTGCCATCTTTTCTAAACCTTCTTCCACTAGCTTCACGAGCAGAAGGATTCATAGTCTCCAACTACAGTATATAGTAATATAACTGATAGTAAATAGGCTGCAAGTTTTAATACAGTTAAGATTACTAGTAATGCTTGCTATAGCAAGTCACTTCTGAATACAGTATTTTAGATGAGTTACACTTTTATAAAAAAACTTATTTTAATTAGTACGGATATTGAAAAAAAATAGAACTAAATACAGTAATAAAATATATTAATATAACAATATATTGCAATACATTTACTCAAAATAAAATTTATACAGTAAAATTAAAAATTATAAAAAAATTTCTATACTATATACGTACTGTATATTTATTTTCCTTTTTAATAGTAAATACAGGTCGTTATTGGATGCACCGCATCCCAATAACAGTACTGGGCCCAGGCTAGCACATTGAATTCAAAGCCAGATACTTCTTTACAGTATTTGTTATCCAAAATGATCATTCCGTGATCCTTCGGATCACTTATTGCATCCAATAACTATTTAATATACATTTAATATACGTATATAAATATTTATCTATACGTAGCAAAAAATATTTCTTATGTACAAAATTTTAGTGTAAACTACGTATAATTATTTTCAGCACTAACTCTAATTTAAAAATTAATTTACAACTTGTAAATCAATAATTAATATAAATACCTGCGCATAAACTACGCACTTTACAATTTACACTTACGTTTTATTTTATTACATGCACGAATACAAAAATATGATAATTTCAAACTCTAATTCAATTGCATCATTTTTATATCATATCTGATATCGATTGTTTAGTTTCATTGTATTCTATTGGACCATGTTAATGACAATCAATCATTGCCGATCACTCATTTTTTAATCATATAATCTTGAACTGACGCGTTATATTTTCGTTAATAGTTTGATATAGTTTGATAGTCTTTGCGTTGAGTCCCCTTGAAACAAGTGGGCGCAAAGTTTATCGAAGTTTATTTTTATCAATACTATACGTAATAGATATTTAATGCACAATTAAACTTTTCGGCAAAAAAATGTCTCGACCTCTCCTTTTCCAAAAACGTGGCAGACGGACACTTGTCGTTGCTTCGCGTTACAACAGCACTAGTTCCACAAAGACTTTTAGCAAAAAAAATTCGTCGTCAAAAGAAAACATTTCTCCTGAACCATTCAAAGCTAAACCTTCCAATAGTTTGTCTTCATCTCTTACGCATAAATTCGCTAACTTGAAATTAGACATGCATTCAGATTCGGATTGTGAAGTGATTGAAATTAATCAAAAAGTGACACGTGATTCGAAGATTGCAAATAATAAATTTAGAAGACCATCACCTAAACCAGAGCTTCCAAATGAAAAAGCATGCAATCCTCAGAGATCGTTCCGAAGACCCTCACCTAAAACTAATAGATTTTCAGAGTTTGATCTTGAACCAACAAAGGGAAGATATATAAATTTGCCGAAACTTGATCTATCCGTTGAAGGTACACCTGAACTGAATGATATGCGTAGAAATAGAGAGAAATGTACGAATGAATCTAGAGCACTTTCATCAACAAGGGGAAGATATATAAATCTACCAAAACTTGAGTTATTATCCGATAGAGGTACACCTGAACTGAATGATATACATAGAAATAAAAAGAAGTGTACGAATGGATTTAGGGCACCTTCACCAACAAAGGGAAGATATATAAACCTACCAAAACTTGAGTTATTATCCGATGGAAGTACACCTGAACTGAATGATATGCGTAGAAATAAAAAGAAGTGTACGAATGGGTTTAGGGCACCCTCACCAACAAAGGGAAGATATATAAACCTACCAAAACTTGATTTATTATCCGATGAAGGTACACCTGAACCAAATGATATGCGCAGAAATAGAGAAGGTATTATATATCTTGAAACTTAAAATGTAGTTTCATGTTGTAAAAATTAATATGTTCTATTTCAGATTCCGCAGACCTAAAAAAGAAATGCCCTTACTGTAATGAGACACTTCCAGATCCACTTCCACCTCGTATACGAGCATATCTGGAATCGCCTAGTAAAACGCGTTTATTGTCTTTGAATACTGGTCATTCATCAAACATTGTAGATCAATTCGAATTCTGTCGCCTTCACGACGCAGAATCACACATCGTGCCAGACGGTCTTCAAAAAAATTACCCGTTAGTTATTGACTTTAACACTTTACCAAATCGGATTAAAGTTTTGTTTCCAGAACTGTTAGAGGTTGCGACCGGAAAAATCAAAAGTTTGTTCAGGGACCTTGCAATGGACGCATACAATGAATTGGGAAAAGCTAGAGCAAGAAAACCGACTGTAGTGATGGGGAGATTTCAAAAATTTTTAGTATGTCTTTGATTTCTACACTGCTAGATCTTCAATGCGAAAGATTTAATGCCTATATATTTTTGAATTAGCCGGGTTATTATGGTTCTAAAGGATCATCCGTTATCTTTTCCACGCTCGTTTCCCTTTTTATTGAATCAAAGCGATTAACATTGGACATGACTAAACCTCAAGAGCCTTTGGAATATCTTAATCAAGTACTTGTTCCTGAAACAGCAATAAGACTGATCGCTCAGGATCGGGGAGGTATTTCACTAAAGGCGGCAAGGAAAATAATGGAAGATAGTATAGAATTTGGAATGTATGTTCACGATGTGGAAGAAGAAGAGGATGATGAATGACACATAAAATGAGAAAGTAAGTCTGTATGCATTTATAATCGAAAAAGGTAGCTGTTCATATTATGTACAATGACTAATTAAAATTCTTTTACAATTATGAATAAATAAATTTACGATGTATTTAGTCTCTTTTATATTCTATTGCTGAGTTCTATAGTCATAAATACTTTATATTTTCTAGTATTCTAGTAATGTAGAAAATCGATGATTTTTACAAAGTTACTCATTGAACCCATCGTTAAAAGTTATTTGTATTAATTTCTTGATTTATGAAATTATGGAAGTGCTAGATTTATAATGTCATTCATTTTCTATGATAATATTCATTTATCTTCAATTTAAAATACGTAAATAATAATTTGATTCTATGCAATTTACATGTTGAAATAGACTTTTCTATCATTCAACATCCTATTGTATAATAAATATTATACACTTCTATTTAAAAAAAGTCCCATTGATATTTTAACAATTTGGTAGTGATATTTATACAAACTTTTAATATTTCCAAGAAAAAAATGAATCCTCAAGACTATTTAATTGAACTTTGACCAAACAACATTAATAAATCGATAAAATTTTATATTCTAAAAAACACCACCCATGATGGTCAATCTTGAAACTCGTTCTTCAATTGACGCAATATCCTCTTCAATTTCATCACCATTTTCTTCATTTCGCGGTAAATATCCATAAAACCACCGTTCTAATAATCCGCGCACTTTTTCTTTTACAACTTCATTTATTACAGGGTTATTCCATGTCATAATTAAAGCCTCTACTATTCCTGCAGATGCTAATTTGTCAGCGTATTCATTAGCCAATATCTGTGATGAATTTGGACCTGACAAATCACCAACCGAAAGGATATTAACTAATGTATCGATAAGTTTGTTCAATATTTCATGTGACGTTCCAGGAATACGTAAATGATGGAGAAAAGGCGATATAATATCGTGTTGAAGGATGATTCTAAATCATTTAAATATGTTAATTATGATAATTATAGGTAATTACAGGTAATAATTTAAGTTTATATATAAGCATAAAAATCCTATACGAACTGAATATGACCGGGGTTATGTAAACTAGTGGAGTTGCTAAGAACCCAGCAAGCTTCTTTAACGACTTTCATGTCGTTATCCCAAAGTAAAGCGACAATATTCTCCATTAGATTTGGTTCCGTAAGTACAGCATTTACCTGAGAAATAAAATAAAATTAGTAATATAAAAAAATTAAAAATTAAAAAAATTAAAAATTGCAAACTTTTTAAATTAATTTCAAGTACCTGTTTATATGTACCGGCAGCCACATTGGAAACCGCTAGACATGCATCACGCCTTAGTGTTAAATTTTTAGTTGTCAAAAATGAAGACGTCAGAACGGTCAATGCACCAGCATCTATAACTGACTGTGTTTGCTTCTCTGTAATAGAAAATTCAACAATTTCAATTGGATTTCAAAAAAAAGTGTATACATATAAATATATAAATATATAAATATAAATACGTATAAAATACAAACCTGCGCCAGACGCTATATTGACCAAAGTTCGTAATACAGGTAGATGCACAGCAGAAGTAAGACTCTCCTCACTACCAAAGGAAAAAAAAAAAAGTGTGTAAAATCTACTTCAAATATATATATATATATGCATATATATATATATATAAAGCTCGTATAATATGAAAAGAATTTAACCTCAGAAGCTGCACTAATCGATGACACAGCGTGCTGTCACTAACTAAAGCATGCTCTCTATGCTTATGCGTTCCATTCAAAATTCTCGACATGCCCCAACTAATAACAGAGTGGAACAGAGATTAACTTCGTATTATTACCAAATCTGCCACACCAACATTTCACCAATATCTCACACAGGATTCTTTCAAGAAACACACCAAGCATCAGATATAATTTCAATATCGTTCAATTGTACCATGGCGCCCAAAATTGGAAAAGCAGGAGTAATCTAATTAAATATTAATAATATATTTTTATTTAAGCCAAAAATTAAATGGTTTAAAGTTAAAAAAAAAAAAAAAAACAAAGATATGCAATATTATGCTTACCAGAGACCACGAAGGATCCGAACAGCGACACCCACGACACATATTTGCAGTTGCCCAGACCGTTATCCTGACGGCCATATAGTCGTATTTATCATAATGAGTTAAGATGTAGAGTAAAGGATCGATCACTCCAGCCGATAATATAATATCTCGGAAAACGGCGCCATCACCAGCAATATTGCCTAATGCCCATATAATCTGTTATTACCAGTACAACCATTTTTAGATGACATACTTGATTAAAATTAAAGATTAGCGTTAAATGGATAAATAAACCAATAAATAAATAAATATCTCTCACCTGTGTCTGAACTTCGATATTACTTGAAGTAGTAAGCACTTTGATAAGGTGTTGTGTTACATCACCAGCGACTAAAGCTTGTGTATGCTGAGTAGAACCAGCCTAAAAATTTAATATTAGAATGATAATAAATCCAAATTATCAAAAGCGTATGAATATTGACACAATAAAAAATTACACCTCGAATTGAATAAATAAATGCATACAGCTATATTAGTAATTATCCAGGCTGTTTCATACTATGAAGTCATTAAGAAAAGATAAAATTATTTTTAATTGTCCCAAAAAAGATAAACAAATTCTTAATATGAAATATAATTTACTTGTAATAAATTATCATGATAACATTCAAGAAATTCTATCAATAATGGTATTATTCCCAACGCCAAGACATTATCAACTCTTTCATCGACATTTTCTGCAAATTCAGCAAGCATTGAAACATGATAGTCAAGAATTAAAAAAAAAATTAAATCGTAAATTATTCAACAACAAATAATGAATACATACGCAAAGACAAATATTTTCGTAATCTTACAACTGCAGCAAGTCGTAACTGTCGCACGGAAGAATGAAGCGCATTATAAACAACTTCTGCATAATGAGGTAGCTAAATAAATTGACAAAAGAGTTTACAATAATACAAAAAAAAAAAATGAAATAAGGGACTTTTTTATTTTGTCTTTATTGTTAGAAAATGTCTCGCCACGAACCAGCATTGATACTTCACAAACTGGCAAGCCGTCATCGTTCTTTCCTAATACTTCTGCTGCATCAGACGCCACTGTAAGATTTGCTAACTTACGGTTCAAAAACTCAATAATATCAGAGTCTTCTTCTGCGGTACTTTTCTCGGTGTGTGTTGTCATTTTTAACGGTTTTTTTTTTAGCAGGCAAAAAAAACTACTAACGTCGAAATAGTTGTTTTTTATACGTATCACTGATCTCGCACAGTTTTGGTGGCTTAGAAAAAAAGCAGGGTAATATCATCAGGGTAACTCACCTCTTAGCATTGGCATAGGTAAATAAATAATCAGGTGATTAAATAGAGTATAAATGGTTATACGATAATAAATCTATGATCTCATCTAACAAAGAATATGCACAATATGTTTATATTTATTGATGGACAGTTTCACGATTGTCAGAAGCCCTTATACTTGGCATGAGTGTAATCACCTTCTTGGATATAGTGATATAAGTAAAACCTCATTTAAAATTTATATGATACACAAAAAATTGTCACTATCAGGGATATGAAAAATTTTATTCTTATCTGTTATTATTAACTTATCACTATTTTTGCCGATCTCTTCTCTAAAAAGAAATGTTATTAACGTTAATCGGAAATTGTTGCAAGTCCTATTAAGATGCTTAGTAATCACGTGAAAATTCTGCAAAAGAACAGGGATTGCTCTAAAACGGAGTAATTTTCTATAGTTCGAATGGATCGACAGCGTGTAAAGCGGGGAAAATTGCAAATAAATCCAATTATATAATCCAATTAATCCTTTTTTTTTTTTTTTTGAACCTCTTGAATTAATCAATTTGTTAAATAGTAAGGAGAGGGGGCTGGGTTCAGAGTATTTCGTACGTAATTCACGCGACAACGCAGCTTTTATTAACCTCCTAAAAATATTTTGGAAATCCGGATTCATATTAAATTCAATATTTCTAATTCTGGTTTAATGAAGCCTTATATAGTCACTGATTAACGATTGTTACGTGTTTAGATTCTTCTAAGAGAATCCCTGGATTCACAAATTCACAACCTTAGATCATATCCCGATATCCGACCAGAATTAAGGTTTGAAAATCAAAATCGGCCCACATTAATGCAAGTACATGTTATTGGTCGATCAATTGGGTAACACCAATTCACCAAAATAACACGTAAATTTTAACAAATAATAATTTCTTTTATTCTTGAGAAAAGATGGCACAATTATTTCCTCGTGCGACGCTTAAAAGAATAATCAAATCTCACCACAACAAAACATTGACTAAGAATGTAGACGTTATGGTTGGTCAAAAAGTATATACATTAATACGCGTTTGATATGTGTATTTTGGTTTAATATATACTTTTCCAAATATAGATTTACCTAGACTACATTTTATTCCTCCAACGGTTAGCCGAAGAAGCTAACACTGAAGCGAGTCAAGAACTAAACGAAAAAACAATAGAAGAAAGACATGTTGTAGCTGCTTTAGAGGTACTTATTCTTAGCTATATTTGTTTATATCGTAACGAAGTTAATGAAATCTTCAACATAGAGAGTATTGCAAGAATTTCAAGGGTGATGATGCAATCAAATAAATTTTAATAAATTTTATATTAAATAATATATACATTTATTTGAGAATATATCAATCTTTTTGCTAGATTCAATATCATCATTTCATTATATATATTTTATTATCAACTAACGAGTTACAGCCAGTAATTTCTTAGGCAATAAACCCATTCATTTTTTCAATAGTCACTGTTACTTTGAGTAACATCCTGATCGTTAGACGTTCTTTAGAAGTTTCCTAACACTAAATTCGTTCACATTTAATTAACATGAAGATTTCCAAGTTTTCATTTGATGACACTCATTTATCAACTAGACGTAACAATTTTTGTTACACTCATCATATGTGATGTATCTCATGCTCATTATTTCCATTTTTGCACTATACTCTCTTATTGTTTTTTTTGACAATACGTTACAACGGGAATGACTAGTTTTCTATGTAGCCCGCAGTATTAAATTTTTGAAAAGCATTACCGTTGGATGATGTTTAAATAACACAATATTTACGTAAAAAGATCTTAAATGTGCTAACGTTTAAATAACATTGAATAAATAACGATAATATTGTTCTTAACTGCACCTAATATTCCTCAGTACGTATAAGCCTTCATCAAATCATAGTCTGGAACATGCACGTACATACGTATCACGATATAAGCCTATAGACCAAACCATATGGAGCCAAACCTCTTATTGCTCCTAAAGGACCAATGTTGTGACTGTTCCCATACTATGTAATACGCCGTCTCACTGAAGACCATATGACTAGAAAAATTTAAAATTTGTACTGGATGCACATTTTATAGGGAATTTAGATTTAATGGTACAGTTTCATTAGATTATTTTCCTTTTTCTCTCATTCTTTTAGTTGATTGCCTGATTATGCCATAGTTACATTCACATGTTTTCTTATTAGTGGATACATTACAGTGTGCGCGATTCCTTAGATATGCCGACGACAAACATGTAATTCAAAAGAAATTGATGGGAAAAGGTTGATACTAGTGATTTTAGCCGTCAACATTTGTCGGTTAGACTAGGCGGTCGATAAAGCTATCGGCTTAGCCGGCTTGGCTGAGTTTTGTGTATCTCAAATTATGCGATTCTCATCAAAGCTAGCCTGGCCGGTTTTTCATTCAGTATTGCTTAATAATAGTTTAAGCTTCCAAGTTTTAATTTCATTAATTACAGCATTTTGTTTTAGTCTTTGGGCATATCATTTGTAAATTCATTTAACTCGACAATTCAATTTGCTAAAACTTGCTGGTTATTCGTGTTAATATACTCTATTAATATTATAAGCATGCAAGCATAACATCATAGTTGTTTTTACGTATAAGTATTTTTAGTTGTTTAGTAGAATGGCTTATTTAAATAACCGGTAAAAATCCTCATCTTATTGGGTTATCAATTCTCGACATTTTATTGGCTACTTACAGTAAACGACCCGAAAATACTCCGAATATCTGATGAAACGCTTAGAAACGAAATTTCTTTTAAAGTTCACGATTTATTACATATTATTTCCAATATATATATACTATACTAGAAAATTTCAGATTATTCACACGTCCAATATCACGTGAATTATTTGTATCATGTTACTCGTTCAAACAACGGCTCGAAGCACCTAGAGCTAGTATATACGCATAAATAAAACAGCTTGTTGTAATGACTAAAAGCTTATGAATTACTATCATTGTAAGAAATTGATTAACCGATTTGAAAACAATCGACCGGCTAATAGAAAACTAACTTTAGCTCATTATTGGCCAGGATCATTACGATCAACGAATAGTGGTAATTTCTCTTAAAGCGTTTTGTGACTCATTAACATTTCTTTCTAAATGTTTTTTGGTTTTATCTAAATCATTTAGTTCTTTTTCGGCTTTTATAACACGTGTATCAAGTTCCGTCATCAACACTGATAAATCTGTTTTGATAAATCTGAAAAAAAATTTTTTTAAAACAATAATTGATATTTTGAGATCCTGATTTAGTAATGGTCTCTCTCAATCAGTTTGTTGAAAGTAATACTTACGCTTTACCGACAGATTTATAAGTTCTAGTATCCGAATCTAAAGTTGTTAATTCCCGTTTTGTCAGTTCAGCTAAACGTTTATCTCGTTCCTTCGTTTGTATTTGCGTTTTTACTGAAGTAAGTTTTTTATTATCTTCGACAAATTTATTTTGTAGTTCTAAAAGAACCTTTTTGTACGCTAAAATGATTAGGACATTAAATAAAGTTAATTCATTTAAGCAAGATTTTATCTCACCTTGCGTAATGTTTCGTTTGGAATTGACATTGTTAAAAATCGAATACGTAGTAACGTTATTTGATCGAAAGTAATTAAAATTCTCCGTTACACGATTATAGGAGACTTTCATGTGATTGGCGGAGCCATTAGCAGTTAGGATAGCTTCTTTAATTGGTCAATCATAAAACAAAATCACAAGACAATATTTTTATAAATTGTGTATATACGTATAAAAATAAGGAATGCCCCTATTGAACAAGAGACTAAAATTTATACGTATAGACTTTGAAAAAGATGTTAACTGTTATATGTACATGATGCTACATTAATTAAGATTCAGCCAATAACTGGAATGCCCATGGTGGCGTGCCACTGAGCACTAATTAGTCAAACAAAATTAACAGAAACACTTTTTTTTATTATAGGATATTAGCTAAATAGCATGCCAGGCGTGCAGGTTCCCTGGCTACATGATATTGTGAATTTTTGACACGACATAACAAAATGTAGAGCTTAATATATTTCTTAAATTGGAGCTAATACGTATACGTACGTATTAGATTTCGGGAAAAAAGATGATCATCGAATATATAAAAGTTGTTAGTTATTAAACAAAAGTTGGCATTACAATGCAGAGAGTACACTTTACTTTGGTTGCGTCCAAAGTTGTAAATAATTTTTAATCTATGTATATAGAATGAACGAAGTCATCTGGAATAGGAAACCAGATGTAGCATTGAATTCTACGTATAAATCTAATCAACGGATTTACATTCCCGATTATAACTAATACTGCACGAGAAAATATTAGCATCTTAACTCCCTTTACATATGTATTTGAGCTTCCTTAATCGAATTTGGTGGAGTGGTTACTGAGATATGTTTGCTCAAAGTTTTGGAAACATTTAAAACGCCTATCAAAATAACAGCCGCGACAAATTTTTGTAACGTTTTGAACGAAGGTATCTTGGCAACCACTTAATCAAATTCGAAGATTTTTTCCTGCAGTCAAAATAGAAAAAAAAATCTTCGAGTTTAGTTGGGTTGAAAAAATTTAAAATTTATAGGGACGAATAGTCACTTATAAAATTAATAAAATTGCACTAATACTGTAATAACTTTAAATTTTTTATTAGTGTAATCATGTAGATCATGTGGCGCATGTATGTGGCACATTTTCCTCGCTTTGCGAGCTTATTTAGGGCGGTTCCTGTAGCAAAGACTACATTTGTTTCCTTCGTGAATCTTCGATCATGTCCAATAATTCAAAAATTAATTTTGACCCTCAACAAGTATTTATAATATTGTAACAGTTATTTGCAAATTAATTATCAGTTACGCGTCCATCAAATAATACGTCTTAACGATAGGAATTGCAATCCCTCCGGCAGCTTCGCGCAAGCTTGACCAGTCTAGATGTTTTGACTAAACAAATTTTACAAGATCTCGAAATTATGGCTAGAAATTATGAATCTATCAGTGGTATGTACCTCAATTAGCTCTCTTTTAAAGCAGTATTATTCGATATCTCTAGCTTGAAATAAATGATAAAGTCGCGTTATTTTAAAAAAATTTGGCGCTTTGTCCTTTTTAAAAAAAAATCCATGTTCCTTTTGTACCATAATCCTATAGCAATTTGCGATGGTTGGAAAGCTACTAGGAAACGGGAACGAGATAGTGATCTGGATGACACTGAAAAAATCGGTTAAAATTAATTTTGGCATAGCTGGTCGATTTTTTTTCAAAATCATTTCAATGATAATAAAGCTTTTAATTATAAAAATTTTTTTGTATATATACTGAGCATACTTTGTTGCGTAACATCAAATATACTTTATATTATTAGAAATATAGTGCGTAAGCGATGTATCGATATTCAAAATATCATTAAAACTTAAATTATTTCTTTTGAATGACCTGCTGCAATCCTGTTGCACACTGTTTCATATATTATTATCAAATAATCTCGCGATGATAGATTATTCAAAGCAATTAAATGACCTCCCTTTCTAACTCGCTTTCAATAGTCTTTTTAACTATTTCGGGATCAGCTCTCTCTATATATACACATCTTTTTTCCTTTTCCAATAACCCAACGAATTCTGTTGGCAAAATTTCTTGAAACTTAAATTCACTAAATGATTTTAATGATTCTTCAACGGCAGCTGAAAATTTTGCCGGGTGAGCTGTTGCAAGACAAATTAGATGCGTATTCCTATATCAAGTGGAAAAAGTTAGACATAGTGAAATATTTGTTGATGATATGATGTGAATAGAGCTTACGAAGAAATTTTTTGTTTATCGGCCGCTGCTACACCGACCGCAGTATGTGGGTCCAGAACGTATGAAATTTGGGTTCTGGAGTCTTGTGGTGCGTAATAACGATGGATCGTTTCCATTGTCTAGTTAATCCAATATAAATTCTTTAATTAAATAAATAAACTAAAGGAATGTCATATATGTAGACACTACCTCTTGGTCGGTTATCTTATCACTCTTAAAATCTCGTAATGCCAATGCCAAATGTACACCTTCTACAGTTAGGCAATGCTTAGATTTCAAATCTTCCATCCACTTATTCACAGTCGATCCAGCAAGATTCACTTTTTCTTTGTCAGATTTAGCATCAATGGACCCGTACGCAAGATACCATAACAATCTTTCAAAATTACTTGAAACACTGATGTCCATTGCCGGACTTAACGTTTCATGTACTATGTGTCCTCCTTTTCCATTGTCTTCACCATCATTCACTTTTTTTTCATATCTACCTGTTTTAAAAAATCTATCTAGAATATCATTTGAATTTGTAGCTACCACTAATGTCTCAATTGGTAATCCCATACATTTAGCATAATAACCAGCTAATATGTCCCCAAAATTACCGGTTGGAACACAATATTGAAGTTTGATATTATTGGCTTCAGGAGAACTTGGCGAAACATTTAAAGACAAAAAAAATTGAAAATATGAATGAAAATAATACACAATTTGTGCTAAAATTCTTGCCCAATTAATGGAATTTATAGCACCTAAATGATGCTTTTGATTAAATTGACTGTCCGAAAATAGTGTTTTTACAGTATCCTAATATCGTATAGTTAAGCTTAAAATATGCGTAAATTATATGTATTAATAGCATAAGCAAATATTTTTACCTGACAATCATCAAAAGTTCCTTCAACTGCAAGATTATGAACATTTTTATCTAGTACGGTAGTCATTTGAGCTTCTTGCACGGGGGACACTTTGCCTCGGGGATGTAGGATGAATACAGAAATATCCTTTTTATTTCGTAAACCATAAATTGCTGCACTAAATCAAATGTGATTACGGAATTAGAAAAAGTATTAATTTATATTTTATTAATTGTTTTATATATATATATATATTTTTTTTTTACCTTCCAGTATCGCCACTAGTAGCTCCAAGAATTGTAATTCTTTCTCTTTTAGTAGTGTTTTTTCCTTCTAAACTCTCTTCCAAGTTTTTTTTTTCCAATAAATACTCAAATAAATTTCCCAAAAATTGCAACGCAATATCTTTAAAGGCGAAAGTAGGTCCATGAAATAATTCTAATATGTAAAGATTTTCTCTGAGTTTTTTTAATGGAGTAATATCAGATGCCCTGAACGTTGAATATGATTTATTAATCAATCTTTCCAAATCTTTGCGAGGAATTTCGTCGTCAGGTATATAAAGTGAAAAAATTTCAAGGGCTAAAGAAGTGAAAGAATGATTTAACCAGGAAGTTTTCCAGTCTGAAGGGAGAGTTGGAATCGTTTGTGGAATAAAAAGTCCGCCATCTTTAGACAGGCCTATTAAGACTACTTCTGAGAATGTAAGAAGATCTGGCGAGCCTCTTGTTGAAAAATATTTCATTTTTTTTTCAATTTATCGTTATAAAATAAATTAAGTTTGATAACAGATAATCGATGATCGGCAACTTAATTTTTTAATTTATCATTATTTCAGTATTTCCAAAATCTTATCATAATTACGTTTTGTATTGGTATGTGTTTTACAATACGTACTGCAATAACGATATGGAATTATAAAATTTAATTGCACATTCTTTCCGAATATTTCGGTATTCATTTATTTATTGTACATTGATCTGTTAATTCAATAGGATAACGAATCGAAATTATAATGAATAATATTAGTGAAGACATTGAATTGTCAAAAGAGGATATTGAATTTTTTAAAGAGCATGAACAATTTATCGGGTTTTTGTAAGATACTTAAATATAATTAATTTTTAATTATTAATACGGATACAATAAATTAAAAAAAAAGAAAAATTTAGGACTAAATCAGAGGATTCTGATACGGAACAAATTTATGAAAAAACCCCTCGATCAAATAAATCTTGGATACCTAAAGAACCCACAAAACTTCCCATTAAACTTCCTGATGGTAAAATAAAACATCAAGAAACTAATAATGACTCGAATAATGAAAATGAAGAAAAAGACGAAATTTCTTCCTTAGATAGTGATAATTATGATGAGAATCTACAAGATGACATGAAAATTGATAAATCAGATGAGAATTATGTTGCATCAAGCAATAATGATATTATTCAAAAAAAAGAGGAGTTAGCCATTATAGCTCAAACGATTACTGAAGATCCAGAAAATAATGTAATATGAATTCTAAATATCCGTATTTAAGTTTTCTTACTATTTAAATATTAAATTTGCTTAATAATTTAAGATCGGGCAACTTAAAATTTTGAGAGAGATCGCAACGAATAATAATCTAACAATCAAGAAGCTGGCATTATTGACTCAGCTTGTAGTATATAAAGACATCATTCCCGGGTATGACTTCCACTTGTAAATGTTTGTCTTTAACATGATTGGGCTTCATATAAATCATAAATTTAAACCTTTATAGTTATCGGATACGACAATTGACTGATAAAGAAAAGGCTACAAAGGTTAAATATTTATTATATATAAATAAAAACAATGAATAATTCAAGAAACTCATGACATTTTGTATTGATATTTGTTATAACAATTTTAAATAAAAGGTATCAGAAGAAGTCAAAAAATTACGACATTTTGAACAAAGTCTTGTATCTAATTATCAAGCTTATTTAAAATCTCTGGAAACCGAATTGAAAGGTGTGAATTATCTGTTAGGATTATTCTCACAATACGGGATTGTTTTTCTTCCTTAATTTTACCATTTTTCAATTATCTTCTAAGAACACGCTATCGCAGAGACAGCATTAAAATGTATGTGTGATCTCTTGATGTCGGTCACACATTTTAATTTTCGATCGAATTTGATGATGACTATTGTGAGCAGGACGAGTACTGTCGAATTCACTAAGGTTTATTTTTAATATTTTTAATATTTTCATATTGTAAATATCGTCACCAGCATTCACGTTCTGATATTATTTCCAGATGTCTGCGATGTGTTGTGAGGCAATAATTGAAGTCTTTAAAAATGATGAGTCCGGCGAAGCAAGTTTAGATGCAATTAAATTAATAACTAAGATGATTAAATCCAAAGGTTATGTTGTGCATGAAGAGGTAGATTATTTATTCTTACAGAAAAAATTTCAATAACAATGCTTCTAAGAGAAGTTCTTTTTTTTTTTTTGACATAGATTTTGAATACTTTTTTGCATCTCCGATTAAAAGAAGAACTAAGTATTAAAGCATCAAATAATGAGAGTTCCATCAATAATCAAGCCAAAGGTAAAAAGAGAAAATATGATAAACAAAAACCAAAAAAGCATTTGTCAAAAAAATTGAAGAAATTGGATAAAAAGAGAAAAGAAGTTGTAAAGGAAATGAAAGAGGCTAATGCTGTTGTGGATAAAGAGGAAAGAGAAAAAAGGGTATGCCATTGTCACAAAGAATGATGAATTATGATTCACTCATACTAGATTTCATCTTATTCATGTGTTTTATTATATCAGCACACAGAAACATTGAAATTGGTCTTTATTACTTATTTTCGAATATTAAAACATGCCAATTCGTCCCCGCTCTTAATTTCTGCCTTGGAAGGACTAGTAAAGTTGTATTATACACACACATATTTTATTTTTACTTCTTGTTCTTTAGTAATTTATTATTTATACTCATTTTATGCAACCTTTATTATTTTAGATTTGCGCATCTTATCAATGTTGAGTTTTTTAATGATTTACTAGAATTACTCAAAAAGATAATGATTACTCCACAAACTGAAGACGATAACGGCAATTCTAGTAGGAGAGTAGATACACGGATAAGTTTATTATGCATAATAACTGCATTTCAGCTACTTTCTGGTCAAGGTATATATCTATCAATATGAATTTTTACTTATCATCGATTATATATATATATGTATTTTTTTTACAGAATTTTTTTTCATTCAACAGGTGAAGCACTTAATATCGATCTAAAAGATTTCTATACACAAATGTATAAAATATTAATGCCGCTTGCACTAAATCCATACATGGAACTAAATGAAAATATAAGAAAGCGAAGGACAATAGCGGATAACAATAAAGATGAAATTAGATATAGTAATAATATAAGTGTGTCATCAGAACAACAACTATTGATGGAAGGATTTGATTACATGTTTTTTAAGAAAAGAACGGTGAGCTGTTCGTCAAAAAGTTTTTATAAAAATTAATAGTACATTGTTATATTTATTTATGTTTACGCAAGTTGTTAGATTCCCATTGAAAGATCTGCAGCATTTTTGAAACGACTTTCAATTTCGTGCTTAAACTGGCCGAGTAAAACCGTGTTAATATGCTTAGAAAAAATGCAAAAAATGATTCAGGTGAGCCATCATTAATTGTACCTAAATTATTGTTAATACCATTTTAAGTAATATTGTTTATCATATCAAAAGAAACAATCACGATTAGATGCACTATTAATATCGGACGATAGAATCTGCAATGGAGTATATCGCGCAGACTTGGACGATCCTGAACTATGCAATCCACTGACAACCAATTTGTGGGAGTTGAGTTTATTAGAGGTAATATAAAAATATTGGATTCCTGTTATTAAAGCGGATTGAATGCGAAATTTCAAATTTATACCTTTTTTTTTTTTTTTTTAATTCCATTAGAGCCATTATGATCCAAAAGTACGTGCTATGGCAACATCATTAGCAACTTTTGTGCCGAATGGTGAAAGACCCTTGTGATTACTGGAGCTGTACATGGGTTTTAAAAAAAGTTTTATATAATTTTATAAAATTTTACTATGACATTTAAAAAAAAAAAACTAGCCGGACAGACTAATTTAGAAGTTATATTATAAAATCCAAGAAATTAAACTTGTATAGCTTTATGTAATTTATAAATTTATATTATCATATTATTGATTATTGATATGTTAATTATTGTTGCTTATCAAATTTCAATTAATTTTATATATGGGGGTGAATCAATAGAAAGCACCATATCTTTTTTAGTGAAATTTTTTTAATTTCTAAACATATAACTAATAAAATTTAATCATATTTAGTAAAAATTTTTTGAATTAATTTGAAAAATTTTATCAAGTATTGGTTGTTATTCTTGTTTAAAGTTTTAAAAAAATCTACATTGGAAAAATATGGTGCATTTCTACTGACTCATCCCATATCAGATATGTTGATTATGATTAGAGAGAATTTATCCCTTAAACCGTCTAGCGGGCAAATTTGCCCGCTAAAATTTTTTTTGGCTAGATTTTTTGAAATTGTGCCCGATTTTCTTAAGCATCTCCCCCCCTTTTTCTAGGTAAAAACAAAAGAACGTGATTTTGCAGATCTGCTCGTGATTTCTTGTCACGTGTATCGGTTGTACAATCAACATCACTTTCACGTGAATTTCTGCATTTCTTTAAAAAAAAAGATGATCGCTATCCAAATTTTAGATTTGTTAAAATTTTTTTTCTATTATGCCAACTACGATTTCATCGCCCCCACCTTATAATAATGACAACAATTCATTTTTTGAAAACGAGGAAGGCTTTATACCAATTCTTTCACCCCGTCAAAGTTTTTTAGAAAACCCAAGATCAAGCTCAAACGACGAGGAAGAAGAGGAAAAGAAAACCAAAAAAGTTTCCAAGAGAGTTAGCAAATATTCAAGGGCCGTCCAAACGTTACCACCACCGCCTTCAAATTTTGAACCTCTAGTTCATATTAAGTCACTTCACCAGGGGTTCGTCAATTTGACAGCAAATTATGAAGCCGGTTTCTCCAAACCGGTTAATCTTTTTTTTCTTTTTTTTTCAAACATTTTATTGGATCAAATAATGATTAACACGAACGCGTATGCACTAATTAAGGGGCCGGTATTACTGGCAGGCAATGGACTAATGTAAGTCACAAAGAACTAATTATTTGGATTGCACTGGTAATCTATTAGGGCATTTTTAAGTTGCCTTCCCTCGACAACTATTGGAATAAGGATCCCAGGTTTCCACTTCACCACATTTCAAAACAAATGTCGTTGAAGCGTTTTGAGCAAATAAAGAAGTATCTCTATATCTCCCCCCCTGCTGAAAATATCAAAAACTATTTTGACAAGTTAGAGCCATTGCTCACACACATTCGAAATGTTTCGAAACAACTTTACACTCCCGGATCAAACGTCTCGATTGATAAGATGATGGTAAGATTTTCTGGACGAAGCGTCCACACTGTTCGAATTAAAAATAAACCAATCCCCGAGGGTTTTAAAATTATGTCACTTTGTGACTCTGGTTACACATACACATTTTTGTCTACTTCGCGTATCTCTCCTTGTGAAGTAGCAAAAGTGAAAGGGCTCAATCAAACTGGAAATCTGGTTCATTATCTTGTTACACAGCTACTATACCAAAGATATTCTTACAATATCTACATGGACAATTATTTTTCTAATGTTCTTCTTTACTAGAATCTTCGGGATATCGGCATCGGTGCTTGTGGCACTGTTAGAACAACAGCTTCCAGGTTCTCTAAAGAAATGAAAATCAAAAAAAATACCCGACTTGATTGGGATGTATGTTCTGGTGTCGTAATCAATGGGGTATTGGCAGTATTGTGGCAAGACAACGGTCCAGTGACGATGTTGTCGACAATACATGGTCTAGTTGGTGACCAATGGGAAGTTGAAAGAGAAAGACGACGGCCCAGAGAAACCAGCTCCAATGCAACCAAAGTGCATGCAGTATTTGGCTCCAAATCAAAAAAAAAACTAAAATTATTGACGATTACAACTACTATATGAATGGTGTAGATGTTGCAGATCAATTGCGGTCGTATTACAACACACAGCAAACGGTGCGGAGGAATTGGATGCCACTTTTTTTTTGGCTCCTTGATATTGTAATCGTCAATGCATACCTAATTGCCCAAACCCTTGGATCAACCCAGAGGCATAAAGAATTTCGCCTTGAACTTGTTTGGGACCTCATAAATGTTGCAAGTGATACCGAGGAAACTCAGCTAAGGGATGGGTCAGAAAAAAAAAACAAAGTCAAATAGCCGAAGGTGACGAAACATTTCGAACTTTCAAACCAACAGCTTGTGCCTGGAAACCATTTTGCAGAATAGAAAGAAAGACGGAAGTCATGTCAATGGTGCGCTTGGTGGGCAAGCAAGAAAAATTTGGATTTGGATCGTAAAATGCAAAATCAAAGTCAGCTTTGGTGTATCGCGTGTAATGTACCTCTCTGCTGCAATAGCAGCAGAAATTGCTTTTTAGAGTTTTATATCAAAAGTAAAGACAAAAGTTCGCTGGAATAGGAGATGCTACTGCAAGATATAACCTTGCAAATTGTTATCAAATTGAATAGAGTTGAAAGGTTTACATAAGGCCTTTTTTTTTTTTTTTTTTTTTTGATAATTTTTTTTTTTTTCATTGATAAAATCTGCTGAAACAGGTAATTTTGATGGAATGGTTAAAGTTGGTTAGGGTTATTGAGTCGGGTATGGATACCTGGTCGTTTATTTTTATGTAAGTAACAGCATTTTTCGATAATAGCTTTTATTAAGTATCGAGATTTTAAAATTTACAATTAAATATTTCTGCTTTACATAGTAAAATAATACCGTCTTAAGTTATATTAATTTCTTAAAATTTTATTATGAATAAGTACCCATATTGTATAGTGATTTTATTTCTTCCGGACCTTAATAGTTTAAAATTGTGTGATTCCAAAAGTTTTTTTCAAATAAAAATTTCGAGACATAAGCTACACATAATTTACATAGTTTAACTTCGCATTCTTCATTTAGGTCACATGTTATGCATCACGAGGTAGCTGCGGTATTATCATATGACCTGCACTTCTAGAAACCGTTTCGATAAATTCAAGTTAGTATTATCATAAAAAAATTTTTTTTGGTGCAAATTTTTTCTATAAATATTTTAGCAGGCAAATTTGCCCGCTAAAATGGACGGTTTAAGGGATAGCAGATCAGTATGGTATAGGTGAGCAGATCAGTATAGTATAGGCCGATTTTTAAGGGTAGAGTATAATACTCATAAATTATATATAAAATTAATAGCAAATTTTTTTTCTTTTTAAAATTAAAGA